CCCCCCCCCGCCCCAGGGTTCCTTTTAAAAATGAGCATTTCTCTTGGATAGAAACCTGTTCATCTAGTCAGCCATTACTATCTTAGTATGAACTAATGTATCAGAGAGAAACTGGGAGGCAGACTGCCAGCCCCAGAAGAAGGGAAGCCCCCAAGAGCTGCATTTGCAGGTGGGAGGGAGGACGGAAGGAAAGGTCTAGAGTGGATGCTGAGCGCCCGGGGGGGCAGCTCGAGGGCACTGGGTTGAAAGGTACAGACTTGTAGCCGTATCAGGGCCAGGAGGGGCCCACGAGGCCACCTAGGTTACTGCTCGTGGTTTGGAAATGAGGATAGGAAGGCGCAGGGGGGTTGAGCGGCTGGCCACACACTCCATGGCTAACAGACAGACAAACAGTGCAGCTCCTTTCCTTGCTTGGCTACGCTGCCTCCCCCGCACCCCACTTTGCTCAGGGCCAGGCCTCTCCTCGCACTGGTTACCGGCCTCAGACTCCACTCGGAGCTGCCTCATCCTACAGGCCCCCTCCCGAGCCGTGAAGGTCGGCATCCTGCCCAAAGCACAGAGCCCTCGTCGCCTACAGGTGTTCCTGAGGTCCATCTGAGGGCTAGGGGCCCCAAGCTACCACCTATGGAATCTATACCTTTAGTTCAAAGCCATTTACAAACCCAGGGTCATGAATTCTCAGGCAGCGGGGACCAAGACAGCCCCACTGGGCAAGTGGGAAGGGAGACCAGGAAAAGCCCTCGAGGTCATGGCCTGCTGCCACCATCAGAGAGTGCACTGTGTGCTCAGATGTGCCCAGGGTCTCACTGGCTGCCCAGTGGAAACAGTACTGCCCACAGGGCCGGGCGGCCTGGGGTGGAAGTCGGCTTGAAAAGCTCCACCGCCCAGCCTAGCCACCGCCCTGGGCCTCTCTCCTGCACACTTAGAGAGATGGTTCATCCCTTGACTTAAAGCCCAGATGATAATTCTCAGAATACACTGTTTGAGGGTTGTCTTCTGATACCACTAAACATTTCTTACTTAGCAATCACACAAGATTTAAAAAAGAGAGAGAAAAAGCTATTTCGGAAAACAAAATTCCAGAACGCAGGAGGAAAAAAAAAAAAAAAAAACCGACAGGAAAAATAAGCTCCTTTCCGAAAAGTTCTGAAACTGCGAAATGATGACCCTGTTTGAGTTTGGTCAAGTGATCCTTCAATTTGCAACTACTCAAACGGACAAACACGCAAGAGGCGACAGAACGAAAGGGAACTGTGGGAACAACTTGTAAGCCCTTGGTTCCCCTGAACCTGAGCCCCCAGGCTCACCGGACGCAAGTAACTGTCTCTAAGACCCGAGTGTCTTTCTGGAGGGTGAGAAAAACCCAACTCCAGGGGCCTGCCCGTCGCCTCCCATGGATCTGGGCAGACGAGGCGTGGAAGCTGGTGCCTTCGGGAAGCCAGGTGAGCTGGGGATTCTCTGCCTTCTCTTTCCAAAACCTGTGCCCTCGCCGAGAGAAGTGCTATCTTCTGAAACCTGAACAATTCCACAGACGTTTTTAGCCTCTTCACATTTAAGAGTCAGGCTGGGGACCCCAGGTACCGTGAGGCCCTGTAAGAAAGTTGTACAGAGATTCCTTCAGCAGACCACGGACCCGTGTGAGGCACGTCTGGAGGAGAAATTTGAAAGGAAAAGAAAGCCCGTTCACCAGATTTCTGGCTTTAGGAACAAACGGACACCTTTTGATTTTTCTTTCTCTCTAAGGTAGACAATTTATAATGGATCAGCTATCAGGTTGGGGCAGAAAGGGAGACACGCCGGCCAAATGCTTCCCCAACCAGGAAAATCATCTGAAAGAATTCGAATTCTGTTTCACGGCAAAGAAAACTTAGAAACTTTTAAAGGCACCCCCTTCGTTAGGAAGAATGTAATCATACGCACAACTTCCTAGAGATCTGGGAAATGGGTGAGGTGCCCTCGGAACTGAGGAAGGTCAAGGCTGAAAGGAACAGCCACGGCGAGGGGAGGGAGTGGCCGAAAGCCGGAGCAGCGCGGCAGGATGCTGGTGGAGGCACACGACACCGGCCCCCCCCCCCCCATCACAGCCCTCGCCCGTGACATTCAATAGCAAACCATTTGGCGCGGACCCAGTCGCAAGGCCACAACGAGCAAGGCGAGAAAAGCAAAATCAAGAACACTTTTGTTTGGTCGAAGTGGAAATACCCAGCTACTCACACAGGGGCCTCACGCGACCGGGGCGTGGGTGCGTGCGTGCGTGCGTGTGCGTGCATAGCACAGAAGTTCTGTAAAACTCTGCGTAGCATGTATTTCTCTTTTCTGGAGCAAATCAGAAACGGATAGATGTGTGGGGAGAAAGGGTCTGAAATTAAACTAAAAATATCTGTTGACCATCTAGAGGGCAGTGTCGGTGAGAGTGTAGCATGATGAAGCTGAGAGGTTTTAGTTTTCAATTGCTGAATATCTCCCCCTAAATTGAGGCATACTGGTTGGTGCCCATGAGATGCTTGATTTCTTTCAGCATTTTTAAAATAGGCATTTTAAGCACCACATGGACTTTCTGTACCTAGGCAAATATCTCTGTGTCCTGAACCAAACAAGACGCTCGTCGGCTTTTTCTGTCCACAGACACAGTGACAGCGAGTTTTCTTGAATGAGAGCCTGGGCAGCTACACCAGCAGCCAGTTGTAGGAGGCCTGAGAGGAGGCCAGGAAGGATTTCCCCTTGGAAATGCTCTCTTAGACTGTAGGTTTAATGCTCAGAGGGAGGGGGGATTTTATCCCCAGCAGCCGGCTGCAGTGGAAAGCCACGCTTTCCGGTCTTCGTTTTCAAGTGGCTACTTGCCCTATTTTAGCCATCAATATCATATTTGCAGTTTTTCAGCCAATCTGGGTTTAAAGGTGACCCCAACTCTCACTTACTAGTAAGTTCTCTCGCTCAAACTTTTCAGCTTCTCTGACTCGGCAGCCCACTAAAGGTCAGGTTCTTCTTGCGGACCCTGAGGTCCTCACGAACCAAGTACATTCGAATTTGCTTGCTCTGTGGGGATGCTCTCTCAGATGTTCGAACACACAAGGGCGAAGCCTCCGCCACCAGAGAGGGTTTCGATCGTTTCCACACCAGCACACGGGAGAAACCCTGTGGTCTACCATCAAACAATAACCAAAGCCACCACGAAACAGCAGCGCTTGCCACGGGCTCTGTCACTTACGTTTCAAAATGTTCCTCTGCTCCAACTCCTCTGCAGTCGGCCTCTGGCTCAGTCGCCTGCGGAAGAAATCCAGGAAAAGTTTTTGGACCATAACATAGCCTCCTTGGGTCATTAATCTCCCCGGCCGTCGCAGACACATGGGGCAGGGTCAGCGGCTGGAGGCCCTGTTCCATCCTGTGCCCTGAAAGACTGGCGCTCACCACCAATGCCTCCTGAGTTCCTCGTTTTCAACCCCAGGAAAGGCACCGACGTGATGTCACGTGGAGCCGAACCCCCTCCCTCCATCGGCCCCTCCCCAGCCCTGCTCCTCTGGGCCTCCAGGCGCATGGACTCTTCTCACAGAAGTCCCTTTCTTTCGTGTGGCCTCCCAACTTCAGGAGCATGGCCTCTGCTTTTCTCCCCCGCAGCCCCGAGGCTAGAGCTTGCCTCTTGCCATGTGTGTGCAGACTCAGAACACAAAGAGGCTCACGGCCCCATGGAGACGGGAGAGAGCACGTCTGTCTGCAGAGAACAATAGCTGCTCTTCTGGTCCCCACCCATCGCCACCAGAGCCTTATTAGACACAAGGTGGCAAATGAACAGGAACAGAAATGACACTTGGTGCCGGCACGTAATTTAGCCACAACGAGTGAAACATCATAGCCAGGATGTGAACTTGCTATGATGCAACAGCAGGGGCCGGGGGCAGACAATGGGCGGGCACCAGGTAGGGACAGAAGTTGCCAGAGAATGGGAAGGACACCGAAGAGGAGACTACACATTCTTAGAGATGCTTTTACGGATCTGACTCCAAAGGCAAGGGAAACGAGCAAAAACAAGTGGGACTACATCATACTAAAAAGCTTCTGCACAGCCAAGGAAATTATCATCAAAACAAAAAGGCAACCTACAGAATGGGAGAAGATAATTGCAAACCATATATGTGACAAGGGGTTAAAACACCAAGTATATAAAGTGCTAATACAACTCAGCAATAACAAAAGGCAAACAACCCGATTAAGAAATGGGCAGAGGGGCTTCCCTGGTGGCACAGTGGTTGGGAGTCCGCCTGCAGGTGCAGGGGACACGGGTTCGTGCCCCGGTCCGGGAAGATCCCACATGCCGCGGAGCGGCTGGGCCCGTGAGCCGTGGCCGCTGAGCCTGTGCGTCCAGAGCCTGTGCTCCGCGACGGGAGAGGCCACAACAGTGAGAGACCCGCGTACCGCAAAAAAAAAAAAAAAAAAAAAAAAAAGAAATGGGCAGAGGATCTAAGCGTCCATCGACAGATGAATGGATAAAGAAGATGTGGCACATACATACAATGGAATATTACTCAGCCATAAAAAGAAATGAAATTGAGTTATTTGTAGTGAGGTGGATGGACCTAGAGTCTGTCATACAGAGTGAATTAAGTCAGAAAGAGAAAAACAAATACTGTATGCTAACACATATATATGGAATCTTAAAAAAAAAAAGGTCATGAAGAACCCAGGGGCAGGACGGGAATAAAGACGCAGACATAGAGAATGGACTTGAGGACACGGGGAGGGGGAAGGGTAAGCTGGGACGAAGTGAAAGAGTGGCATGGACATATATACACTACCAGATGTAAAATAGCTAGCTAGTGGGAAGCAGCCGCATGGCACAGGGAGATCAGCTAGGTGCTTTGTGACCACCTAGAGGGGTGGGATAGGGAGGTGGGAGGGAGATGCAAGAGGGAGGAGATATGGGGATATATGTATATGTATAGCTGATTCACCTTGTTATACAGCAGAAACTAAAACACCATTGTAAAGCAATTACACTCCAATAAAGATGTTAAATAAATAAATAAACATAATATGTTGATTTACAAGAAAAAGGAAAGGCTAAACAACAACAACAAAAAGAAATTGGCAGAGGATCTGAATAGACATTTTTCCAAAGAAGACATACAGATGGCCAACAGGCACATGACAAGATGCTCAACACCACTAATTACCAGGGAAATGTAAATCAAAACCACAATGAGATATCACTTCATACGTCAGAATGGCCATCATCAAAGAGACCACACAAAACAAATGTTGGCAAGCATGTGGAGAAAAGGGAGCTCTCGTGCACTGTTGGTGGGAATGTAAACTGGTGCAGCCACTATGGAGAACAGTATGGAGGTTCCTCAAAAAATTAAAACTAGAACTACCATATGACCCAGCTATTCCACTTCTGGTTACTTATCTGAAGAAGAGGAAAACACTCATTTGAAAAGATATCTGCACCTCCATGTTCACTACACCATTATATACAATAGCTAAGCTATGGAAGCAACCTAAGGGTCCACTGATAGATGCATGGATAAAGAAGATGTGGTACATACATACAATGGAATATTACTCAGCCATGAAAAAGAATGAAATCTCGCTATTTGCAACAACATGGATGGACCTTGAAGGTATTATTCTAAGTGAAATAAGTCACACATAGAAAGACAAGTCCCATATGATTTCACTCCTATTAGAATCTAAAAAAACCCCAAAGAAATGAACAAACACAATAAAACAGAAACAAACTCACAGAGATCAGATCAGTGGTTACCAGAGGGGAAGGGGACTTGGGGCGGGGGTGAAATGGGTGAAGGGGGTCACTGTATGGTGACGGATGGTAACTAGACTTGTGGTGATGATCACATTGCAGTGTATACAGCTGTTGAATTATAATGCTGTAGACCTGAAACTTATATTTAAAAAAAAGAAAAAGAGAACCACATGCCCGGATAAAGTTCTAGGAATGATCACACAACGGGCCTCAGCATCACAGAGATGTTTGTATTTCTGAGGCTCTTGAAAATTATTTAACAGTCCTGCAGTTAATTATCCAGCATTCTGCTTCCCCCATTGGGATGAGGTGTGTGTGAGATGAGAAAACTGTGGAAGGAGTTTGAGGCCCCTCTGAGTCCCCCAATGGGACTAAGGGGTAAAAAAGAGTGCTGTCCTGGCAGCAGAGGCTAGAGTCCCTCCCCAAACAGTGGCAACTAGCGTGTACTGTTGGCAAGATGTTTACACCACGGACTCTGGAGACCCAGAGTGAAGATAAGAAGTCCACGGAGTCGCCAAGTGTAACGATTTTAAACCCAGTGCTCACTGACAGCTGATTCTGTGATTCCCCAATATCATCACCACTTAGGCTGTAGACAGGGAATGGGCCTCAATGCCAGAGAAAGCATTTTTGATCAGATACCTTTCTGCCAACCCCATAGCACCCTGGAAACTGCTGGAAACGGTATATTCCAAAGTGTTTTTAAGTTTGTAAGAACGTTTTCACGTCTATTCTTCATTTTCTTCCCAAGACATCCCATGAAGGGATTATTTATCCACACTGATAAGGGCCCTCTGGGTATTTGGAAATCCACAATGCTGGAGGTTCCAAATTTGGACTCAGCAGTCTTTCTGTCCTTTCTAAGACAGCATTCTCAGACTGTAGGAAGAAACTTGAGATTACACAGCTGGGCAAGCTGGTGTCATAGGTCTGGAATGCAACTCCTGACTCCACTTAGAATGAGTTTCTTAGAGGCTCTGCCTCACCTTTCAATTTATCTTCCCTGAGAAAACTGGTTTCTTTGGTAGGGACGCACAGCCACCTTTCTGGGACCATTTAGTAAAACCCAGGTTTAAACATGAAGCTTGGGTTTGGGGGCCGTATGTTTTGAAGAAGCCCCTCCAGATTCAAGGTGGAGTTTGCATCTCAGAAGGGGCGGGGCAGTGTTTTGGAATCTTATGCCCTGAACTGTCTGCAGAAGGTTCCCTCACTGGCTTGTGCTAAGCAGCCCGCGGATCCCACGACCAGATGCGTTGCCTGGTTCTATTCTTGCCTTTTTCTGTTTTTGTTTTTCTTATGCGACATGTTTGAAGGGGACAAAACAATGAGTGACTGAAATCTAACCAGAGAAAATTCTGCTATTAACTAGGCAGCCTTATCATTAAACACACATGATTTCAAATGACGCCTTCTATTTACGTTTCACTTCTCTTGAAAGGGTCTGAGAACATCCAGGCTAATCACAGATATAAAATGTAGCTAAGCCCTCCCGAAGGGCACGTATTATATAACTAGTTGTTTCGACTTTGAAAATGAGATTCGGTAGTTAAATGATATTGTGGCTTAATGACAAAGTGCTAAACAGCTCAGGAGTTAGGGGACCTGGGTTCCACTCCTGGCTCTGCCCTGAACCCACCTGGACGAGCTATTGGACCCGCTCAGCCCTATGTTCTTTTCTCTGCAAATAACAGGAGTAATTGAATAAGCTAAGGCTGACTTAATGCCTAAGAAGTACAGGCATGGCTCTGAGAACTGCATGTATATTAATTCATTTAATCTGCAGGTCAGGCCCCTTAAGGTAGTGCAGCGTTTCCATTGTACAAAGGGGAAAAGGGAGGCACAGAAAGTTGCATACCTTGCCCCGGGTCACCAACTAGCACAGGGCAGAGCCAAGACTGCAACCCAGGCACCCGGCCTCTACGGTCTCAACACTCTTAACCAGTGTATTAGTTTCCTATTTGCTGCTGTAACAAAGTACCACAAATATAGTGATTTAAAACAACACAAATTTATTATGTTACAGTTCTGGAGGTCGGAAGTTTGCAATGCGTGTCTGTGGGCTAAAACCAAGGAGTCAACAGAGCTTCACCCCTTCTGGAGGAAGGGAAGAATCTATTCACTCTGCCTTCTTCAGCTTCTAGAAGTGCCCTGCCTTCCCCGTGCCTCTTCCAAGCCCGCAGTGTCTTATTTTCCAACCTCAGACTGACTGCAAGCGTTCTTGTGATAACACTGGACCTACCCAGATAATCCAGGATAATCTGTTCAACTCAAGATTCTTAACCACAGCCTCAAAGTCTCTTTTGCTAGGAAAGGTTATAGGCTCCTAGGTTTGGGGATTCGGTCATGGATGTCTTTGGGAGGGGGAGATATTCTGTCTACCACAACCATAATACCCTGCGAGTCAGAAATTGCAAACTGATGTCTGGTGGGTTGCATCTGACTCTGCAAGTTCTCCTTGCTCAGAGGTTACAGTTTTTGCCCCCCCTGAATGCCTTTAGAGAGG